ACTCACCTCAGCCTCCCAAAGCGCTGGGATTACAGGCTGAGCCACCGAGCCCGGCTGGTTTTTCTTTTAAAGTGCATTTTGCTGGGCATGGTGGTTCAGGCCTGTAATCCCAGCACTCTGGGAGGCAGGGGCTAGAGGACTGCCCGAGCCCAGGGGTTCGAGACCAGTCTGAGCAACTTGGGGAAACCTCGTCTCTACAATACAACCAAAAACTAGCTGGGTGTGGTGGCGCACACCTGTAGTTCCAGCGGGTAGAGGCTGCAGTGGCCTTGAGCGTGCCACTGCACTCCAGCCTGGGCGACATAGTGAGACTCCAACTAAAAGAAAAACCAGAAAACGGCGTTGTATTTCGTGTACTGAAAGCTTCCAATAACGGGCCTGGTTCTAAGCTCGATTCACGCTCTCTGTGACAGCATCTTCCCCGCGAAGTTTGGTCACCACTTATTTGCAGAGGAGGAAACTGACAAGCCAGAGAGGCCCGGGGCTGCCCTTTGGGAAGTAACCGAGGTGGGGTCCGAATCCAATGCTTTTGCCTCCAGCGTCCAGAGACCTTTGGAGACGCCAGGGTTCTCCCCCCAAACCGGCAGCGGTGTGACCCCAGCGTCCGCACTCCGGCAGGCAGCGGCCTCTTGGGGAAGGGCCCGCAGGGTAGAAGGCGGCGCCCTTGTCCAGCGCGACAGCTCGCGGACCCTCTTCATCGGAGGCGCCGGAAACATCCCTCTCCTAACACCCCCGCGAAGCACGAGCAGATGAGCGAGGCAGAAGGGCGAGGGGGGACTTGACGCCGTCGCCGGCGAGGCGCAGGCCCAGGCCCCGCACCCGGCCGGCCGCTGCGGGGTCTCCGCGGCCGAGCGGGCCCCGCGGGCGGGCTCAGGCGCCGGCGCTCGGCGTGTCCCCCGCACTCGGCGTTCGCGCTGCTTCCCCGCAGCGGCGCGTCGCTGGGCCTCGGCGTTCCGTCTCGCTCACGGACACCCCGGCCCCGCGCAGGCACGCCCGCGGAGGCGAAGACCCGGCTCGGCGTCGGCGGCGGCGGCGGCGGCGGCGGCGCCGCCTCC